ACGAAACGAATCCCGCTTCTCAAAGCGTTCGCTCGCGATGAGCGTACGTCCGCGCGGTATTTCGCCCGTCTGAAGAATTTCGGGAATCGCGATTAAGAATTTGCGAAACGAGGTTGGAAACTGCGAAGCGGTTGCTCCATATTTTGCATAATTTGTCGCAATCTCGCGTAGTGCGTTTCAAATAAGAAACCGAGTTAGGAAACTGTGAAAGGGAGACGCGACGAAAATTCTTCTAGCGAGTTGCAACAAACTCTTCCTGCATCAATGATGTATACTTACGCACCTGATTATTTTTGTAATATATTTACACTCGCCCGCGAAAATATTTGAATGTTCATATACACATTTTATGAATATGTCATGTATATGAGACTTCCACATCTTTGAACTGCATTAGCACTGTTATGTACATGAGCGACACGATTAAGAAAACTATCTTTTTAAGTTTAAGATAGAAAATTCTTAATATTTCTGCCACTTATCGACGACAAAATTTTTCCCGTTTACAACTTACGTAATAATAAATTTCGGAGCTCTTTCGAATTTCTGATAAAAATTTTATTGAAACGAAGGAAAGGATTTGATTTTTTTTCTAATCCGACTGGTTTTCTAATTTGTCTGGTTGAAATGTCAAATTGCTTTTTACAAAAAGTTTCGAAAATGTCAACTGAAAGTCGCCTGGGTTTTCTTATTCCCCACGAATTACGCGGTTCCAGAGAATTTCGTGAATTGCGATTAATAGTTTGCGAAACAAGGTTACGAGCTGCCAACTACCTAACGTACGCTTTGCATAATTCATTGCGTTTTCGCAATGTCGTGTTCACGAGGCCGATTAACCGGAGACGTAATTTATGTCAGAATCGCCTTTTCATTCGCTTCTACATTCTTAACAGTCGTTTGTATTCTGGAGTTTCCGTGAATTAAACTTCACTCGCTAAATTCCTGAATTTTATCGTGGGATAATCTTGACAAAACTCAATTTTTCTTTCTTATTTTTATTTTGGTATCCCAGACAATAGAAAAATTATAGACGAAAATTTGACTTATCTCTTTTCCATTGGTAGAATATTATACATATATCCTAGATGTAGGTGGCATAAATTTTAGAAAAAGAGAAATTCCACGGTAGAATGTGTATTTGCAGAGGCATGACGACTGCAACGAGAATTTATTAGGTATGTTTACAGAGCAAATACGCGAGGAAAGGAAGCATTTGAGGAAGATATTTACGAGCGTACTAAGAAAGATAGAAGGTGTCGCGGATTAGTTCTAGAACCCAGAAATACGGGAGTCTGCACTTTATTGTTATGAATATACATTTGCGAATTAAAATGTAGGCTTTAGAAAACCTTTTCAAAACGTGTGTGTCTCGTCTATCAAAAACCTTGCTTTCGAGCCACACAACTTTTTAAAATTCTCAGCTCCCTAAAAAAATTTAATTCGTCAAAATGATGACGCAACCTTGCAGTTCATGTATTACTATAGCGCGTTAGTATTACGAATCGTAGAAATACACGTATATGTTTTATTCAGATCCACATGCGACCCTCGCTCGACAAAAATTTCACAATCTACCTTTCGATGGTCACCATAAATTTACAGGAATAAATACGCCGATATTTCTAGCTGATGCCAGCTGAATCTTGAATTCCAATCTTTCCTTTCTATCTTTTCTCTCATTGCGCCCTCCTCCCTATTTCTTTTTATTCTTCTTTCGCACACTCTCCACTCTTCCTGTTCCCGTCTAATCCATATTCCGGCATTAGCGTCTCCCCTTTCATTCATTTTCTTTCTTTTGTCTCATCAACACCACGTTTTAAACTCTTTCCCTTTGGTTATTCGTTCGTTTCCCTTTTCCTTCGTATTCCATTCATCGTGTCGTATTTCTCTTTCCTTTAATCTCATAGATCCGGTGGAATTCACTGCGACTATTTTTTCGCCCTTGTTCCCATCTTTTTCTTCCCGGTAGCTTCCATTTTCCTAACTTTCGTGTTTCTCTCGTTCCAACGACGCCCCTTATCCTCCGTTGACATTTTCATAGCGCATATTTCGCATTTTATTCAGCTTCCCGACGATTCTCCAGTTTTTCCTTTGAAAAGCACCCGAGAGCACCATAAACACCACATAAATGTTCCTTTATCGTTTCCTGTTTTCCTCCCATATTATCTCCTTACTTTTAATTTCCTGCCATTATTCAAGCACTTCCTCCACCCACGTTCAGATTTCCCTTTCCCATACCGTCATCGGTTCTAATTTTCTACACCGCTTCCTCGTTTACTCTACCAACGTATTTCTTTTGCCACCGTTCAATAGCGCCGTATATACTCTTCTTCGTTCATTCTTTCAACGCTATTTCCCCCGGACCCCCTTCAATTCCTCTTTGTCTTCCTTTCTCCCCTCATCTAATTGTCTTCGTTTTGACCCTCATTACAGACCATTTTTCTCGCCTCTGGTCGCCTGCCGTTCTCGTACGACAATGACTCACCGCTGTCTTTATTTTTTCCTTACCCACCCTCCATCTATCGTCAATCGACCGTTTTCCACCTATCGTCGATTCCTTCCAGACTCGTATCTCTTCATCCACGTCTCCGCGTTGACCTGCTCCACGCGTCTTGCTCCGACGTTTCTCCAACGTTGCCCCTATCTCTATTCAAATCCATTCCCATCCCATCATTCTCCGCCAATCTTCCTCGCACCCCGTCTGTCTGCGTTTCCCTTTGCTACTTGCATGCCCACACCCTCCTCCTCGTCCCGTCCTTCGTTCAACCTTTCGCTTTCTCCCTCTTTGACCTCCCTCTCCCCGGAGGATCGTCCACCCCTTCACAGGCCAGAGTGCAAGCATCACCTCCGACGGGCGCGTGATTCCACGTGTGCGCTTCCCCGTGACAAAGCCAGATTTAAGCTCCGCTTACGAGTCGGAGCTTTCCAGCTGGCTCGAACCTCGCCGGGTGCTCTCTACTGCTACACGCTGCCGCTGTATAACGATTTTCCTCCTCCTCCTCCTCCTCCTCCTCCCTCCCCCTGACATTTCGTTATCAGCCATAATAGACTGCGTTTCGCGGGAGCAGAGCGAACACGCCGAGATTTAGAGAGACGCTCTCGGGATGTCCCCGCGAACATCGAATGACAAAAAAAAAATGGATAAAAAGAGAGAGAAAAACGAGAAAGGATAGAAACGAGGGAAAAACCACGGGAACACAATGGCCGCCCTTTGTGTCGCGTAATGTGCCCGGGACTGTATCGCCTGCTTGCCAAATATTTCCCTGTTGGATCGCTCGCGTTCGCCCAGCATCCGTCTCCTGTGACTGCGGTCTTTGAAGACATTTTGTCTTCCAATGTAACAGAACTACATTTTTAACAGGTGATGTGTCGCTTTTATGGTTTCGCGTGGAATAGTTCTGTTTGAAAAAAATACAGTTGACCTTCAAATCTGTTCGAAGCGCTTCTTGAACACACTTGAAACCGTTCAGTCTGTTTAAGGAAATCTTGTACGTTCGATTCTTGAATCGAAATAATTCTTAAAAATCTACCGCAATTCTTGTTAACAGTTTTAGGGACTATGAAAATTTATTCGTTGAAAAGATTAATGTCGGCTTGAATAACGCACTCGTGCATCAAGAAATGTCGAATAAAATTCGCCATGATTAAAATATTTTTTCTCCCATAAAAATCGACCATTATATTACAACACGAAATTTGTTAATAGTAAGCATTTTATACAATCCCAGAGATACAACTATGTTTGTTCCTTGATAACAGAAATAAAGTACGAGTACTTTGTACAAAGGCTTTGACGATTAAATCGACGAGGCAATGAAAGAGGAGATCGTAGGTTTACGTTGCTGGTAAACGACAGAAATAGAGTGAAAAACGCGGTACTGTTATCAGACTGAATTAACGAGCGAGAGTGAACACTTTGCGCCGTGTGCCGCTTTCAAAAGCCAACAAATCCCGTTATGTTTTCGTGTATATTCCGACTACTTCTACGGCCAGGATCAATCTTATCCGCGATAATGCGAAAATCGAATTTACACGATGGGCGACACACATTTTTCTCCCTCTTTGTCACCTAAAAGGGGGATTTCTTTCAAGGCCAGTGGGTTAACTCCTGAAAACGATCGATCATATCATATAATACACACGATACGATAAAACATACAAAAATAATTTCGTCGTAAGCCACGTTATGGGAGGCAACGTTGATTGCAAACAGCCATTAATCCTTGGGTATAAAGAACGGCAGTTTCTCCTCAGCAATTCGAATAAATAACATGTAAATTCATGCGTTGAAAATCGATTGCGTGTATAATATTACAAGAAGTACTATTCGAGTGATCATTAACGAGTGTTAAGGAATCAAAAACAGATACGAAATAAATGTGCGTTCACGCGTAATAAATCTCATTCCTGATCGAGAGAAGTACTTTCCATGTAATCGATTTTCCTTTGAAACTTATCAAAATCCTTAATTTCTTTAATTTTCAAGTTAACCAATCGCGAGAGGATTTTTGATAAAAATACTTTTCTCTGAAATGGCAAAGACAATTCAAACGGAGCCAGGGTATTAATTGAATGAATTGCCAGGGGAAGGTCCAGATGAACCCTGTTTACACATCCCACGACGAGAGCCAGAGTTTGACAGAGGAGGAAAAAGGATCGATCGATCGCCGATAGAGAAGTCAAAGGGCGGAAAAATAAGGCACATCGAATGACAGAAACACGGGGGACAAGAGAGAAAGAATGAAATAGAAGCTTGACACCCCTCCAGTGTGCAATTCTGACGAGTTGGTGATTCGATCCTGAAACAGGACTCAGGAGACAGCATAAAGCTCGCTCTACGCTCGTTTGTCCTTTCTTTCTTCATTTTAACCTTACCCATCCTCTCTAACCTGGACACTTTACGATCGTCCGTCTGTCACTATTTGTCTCGCGAACTTCTCCGCCTTTTTGTTCCGGCATCCCGATCTCTTCCCCTTAAAGATTCAATTTAATTCACTCACCATGAAGAGCCTTCAAATATGCCTTGCCGGCATTGATCAGCTGCCTCGCCCCCGGGTTGAACTTGTCCAGGATGTTCTACAATCAGAAATGTAAAAGGTGTTTGATAATTTTCAGTTACATTTTAAGTCTCGACGTGGTTAAAAAGAATAATTTATCGAGAACCGAGAGTAAATTGGCAGAGCGGATTGTTTTCGACGTTAAATACATTCGACGCGATCTCTTTAGGGTAATAATTAAAAATGATTATCGCCAACTGGCAGTTATCATGGAAACGTGTTTTAACAATTTTCTGTATGAATGTATTGTATAGATGCGGGTAGAGAAACAAATGAAACAAATGCGAAATGAATTGGTTATTAAAAATTGGTTATGAAAAGATTGGAAGATGTAATTTAGCATAGAAATACAGTCGTTAATTGATTTATTATTCAACGGCGTTACAATGGCTAACAAATTACAGATCAATGGTCACTTTTAATCCGGATTCAATCAATTTATTTTCGCCTGCATTTTGCGTCTGCGTTATCGTCGAAATTCTTAATTGGATAAAATGATAGATCGCGGGATGCAATAAAGAATGCATTCAACAACGTTTGATTTCATTGCGACGGTTTTTCCTAGTATAAATAGATATCTACGCAATGATAACTGCGTTTAAATGCAGAACCATCAGGCACACGTCTTCATCAGACCTTGATCGATAGCTGACCATATTGGGGAGTGTTAACGAGTGTGAGTTAATCGGATTACGTCACTATGACGAATTAGTTTCTCGAGCAAAAGTCACGCTTCAGGGTCTTGGAATGCGGTCTACTTCGCCGTGATTGCACTCCTTAGATGAGGAATTTACATTCTCCGAGGCTACTACTTTTAAATATTCTCAGTGCTCTGTGCCCGACTGTATTTAACGATAATCCGTAGTAAATCGATAATTTTGCGAAGGAGATAATTCTGCTACTATCATCGAAACTACGATTTTTGCTTAAGCTTTAACGAACATATTCTTTGAGAATAACTATATTCCGCGGTTCCTTTCCAAAAAAAAAAAAAAAAAAAAAAAA